AAAAAAAAAAAAAAAAAAAAAAAAAAAAAAAAAAAAAAACGAAACATCGACTTACTTTTAAATAAGGATCGTCCTAAGCAAGCAATATAAAACTATATAAGACGCTATATAAAAATCTATACAAAGGAAGTTAAAAAACATCATTCGTTAAAAGCTGCATAATCCCTGCTACGATACTTAGGAGAAGAAAAGAGAAAGGAGAGTCCTGCTTTTAAGGAGTATTTGCCATGATTCCGCCAAGTTTTTCATTAAAAGTTAATTACGAAAGGGATAGTCGTTCCAGACGTAGCCCGTAAAAACGGTCGACCTTCAATTTTACAGAAGTTAGGAACCACCGAAAGATTGGAAGGTTTTAAAGTCGTTTCGAAGAAACGAGGAGATCGCGGTCACTCCCGCGCGTCATTTAACCTACGATTTCAAAAGACCTATCTAAAGTTTCGCCGGTACTCGCGCGCAGAAAGTTTATAACACCGAATTCATTGTGATCCGAGGCAACAGTCGAACAATCGAACTGCCGGAACCATAGCGAACGGCGTTCGTAACGAGTACCTCGTGGACCTGGAAAGCGGAAAAAAGCAGCCACGACTCGATTGATGAAAAACTCGATGAATTCGACGACCTGAACTGGTGTCACAACCACCTGGACGCATTCACCGCGACGAACTTGCTGTTCCTAGGATCCATTGTGCTCTCAGCCAATATCAGCGACATTCAAAGGCTCCGCCGCCTTCTGGGGTACTGCTTTTCGATGACGATCGAACGATTGACATTAGGCAAATGGTGTTAGCACCCGTGAGACGTATTTCGTGCGTTCTCGTGTGGAAAAGTCGACTCGAGTGTGTAACTGTGGCGCGCTCGATACAACGTCCCGTTGAAACGTGACTCTCCATGCAATCAACTTGCAAGCCGAAGTACGTGGCTAAGGTGTCAATAGAGCCGATAGCTAACGCGGAAAGCGGCCTCGAGATCTTCCCCGATGAAAGAAAGTTTTCGCGACGACTGTGAATTCTTGGTTTTATTTCGAGCCGTTACTTCCTTGAAATTTATCGGAGTTCATTAACAGAGACGAGTGATACTTCGCGATCCGAATCGAAGTTTCCGAAGACAATAACAAATCGGGTTTGCCAGGCGCAAGCGGTGCCCTAGAAAGGTATAGAAACCTACCGGAGTATAATTTCCAATACTACATCGATTGGTCCGATTACACAGTAACAGCTTGAAGACATCGTTTCTGAACTGGAACAACGAACACGAGCTTCTGACACCGTCCATCAAGCGGATTATCCGTTAGAAAGATCGACGTTAATGGTCTTCAAGGCTCGAAACAGCAGCGAGAGAGATTTCCAAATTTATCTGATCTTTGAATTGGAACAACGAACAGACTTCTGGCACTGTCGATCAGACGGATTATCGATCACGAATTACCTACGTTAAAAGTCTCAAAGATTTCGAGCGACATCCAAAGGAGCTTCCAAATTTGTCTTTTCCTCAAAAGAGAATTTTCTAACGATACTAAACGATACTGTTCGACCCAAGAATTTCAAAGATCTCCGCCACTATAACAAATACTAATTTTGACACCCGGTTTGTTGGTACTCATCAATCATCACCATAAACTGGAGCATCAAGGAAGCCCTCTACTTCATCGGCCAACTGGGCCAAAGCGCGGAAACGCCGAAGCAGAGGAGCCCGGACGAAGAGCCCAAAAAGCAGCAGAGGAGTGCCCTGCGGAACCTGGTTCGTAGATTGAGCATTAGCAGCGGAATCGGACGATACGCGATTGGTTCGTTCGGTCAGGGTGGG